GCAGTTTTCTACAGTATTCCATAGCTCCACCAACCCGGCATATTCGAATGAGCCGTTCATAGAAGTCCATGTAGCGTGTCGCGAGGTGAGCACGGGAGTTCTCGTCCATTTGCTCACATCTGCCCAGCTTGCTAACTTTGTAAGGCGCCAGTGCCTTTGTTGCGCAAAGGTGAGCTGCGGCAACGGCACCTCTGTAGTACTCGTGGAGAACCTTCTCCTACCCACAAGATAGATTGTCTTCAGATCATGGGCTACGGTAACCTAGACGCAAAATCGCACCTACTCTGCAGCACATTCCTTCTCTTTTGTAAGCGTTGTTTTCACCCGGATTTTGGAGAGCAGTCGATTTGATTAACATGAGCGATGGGACTTCCACTTGCGCACTTCGCTGGGCTCTGCTCTAGCGTACCCAGTGTTCATAGTTGACCGAACTCTCAGCGCAGTAGTCTTGCGCAGTGGTGGAGCCCGCTGTTCTTGTCATACGTAATTTTCACTATTTCCCTCTTCTTCTGCAAGTGCATCGAGCCGCTCCACCAATGGGCCAATCAGTCTTACGCTGGTGTAGTCACCATTTTGGCGTATTGCCTAGTAAAGCATTGGTTCCTTCTCGAAACTAATGGTAAGCGATTCCGGTTCAGTGCAAACATCCAGCTGTCCCCGCCTACATATAATCCAACACTGAAGCAGAAAAAGTTAGGATGACCTGTCATTTTTTTCTATCTTCCTTCCCTGTTGCACCTATTATGTTATGTGGCACCTGGGTCATTCGGATTAATGGAAACCGATTGAGGGTAGGCTTTCAAATCTCAATTTGTGGACCAAATCCTATTGCGATCCTCTGCAAAATATCACCAAGTGGAAACGGAATGCGTGACGCATTCTGAAAAAGGACCAGTGAGCGCCGAACCCTCTACGCTTCACTTTTTATCCAATTTTCATAACCTCTCATTCCAGAACGGAAGTGGCGCAGTGGCAAAAGGCTATCCTTGGCACTCACGGGCGCTACGGGGATCCAATTTGGATTTTGAATTTTCCAGGCCAACCAAGCCTTCCACTTTTCCGAGTTCGGTGACTTGGTACCAGATTTGTCTGGAGATGAAAAACGCTGATTCGGACATTGGCCAGCCCCGCAAGTCATTGCATAGGCCAAATCGCATTCAAAATGCCACCACGATCCAGAATTTGAGCATAATTCATGGCGCAACCCAGAAAAGGGATCAATCAACACCTTAATACTTATGATTATCAAAGGCAAACGCTTCTCTTCGGTCTGTAGTATAGACCCCTAGAGGACAATCACAAATGTGGCGTTCCGTGCACGGAAACCAACCGACAAGAGCGCTTGGGCCTTGCAAAGTAAGCTGCTGAAGCTGCAGATTTTTTCTCTTATCAGGCTGTTGTCTGGCGCTCTCTCATCTGTAGCGCTCTCTCGCCTCATACTCTCCTCTCCGCGCTTAGTCTCTCATTCCCTTAGCACAGCCGATTAGGAAGGTGAGTGAGCCCTTAACCTAAGCGTTTTCGACGGATTCTTTTCCTTTTTTCTTCACTGCCGGCCCATTTCGCACCAATACATTTCATTCGTGTGCAAGAGCCACACCAATGAGGGGCATGCCTTCAAGGATGTTGCTCTGTAAGCTATTATATCAGAAATTTCCCGTTTCTTGGCATCTATTTGAGTCCGTGCACCTTCTAATCCTTCTTGGTATGTGGTCCGTATTTGACCATGTGCAACTGCACAACTTAGCTCTCCCTTTCCGGAATGAGCCACAAATTTTACTTAGGCCTTGAATCATCTAATTTTCCTCTCATCCTGATTCCATCCATCTTCTTATATTCTCCCTCTCCAATCATCTAATCACTTTATGACCATTGATTATATTTTTGGGAGATAGTGGTCTGGCAATTGACGCTGCGCATCACGCATGCGGCCCAGGGGTGAATTCCCGTGTCGAATCTCGGTTGGGCAATCCATTTTCCACACCAGCGGTATCTGTTAGCAAACATGTTTGATAAGTTAAAAATTACTAACATGAGCATCGGCTAAGCTCCCAAATCACTGTGTGGGCCAAAACGCCTAAAAAAGCCACTACGATTCTAAATGGAAGTAAGACGCGTGGCGCATGCCAGAAGGCACTGGGTCAAACCCCTGTTCACTATCCTTTCGAAGGCAGTGACATGATGGCTGAAAGGGCGGAGCGATCTCAGTGACGTCAGTAAGCGTGATTGGTGGCGGCGTTGGGAGTTGTCTCAACCACGCCCACCAGCACGGCGTCTGGTCCACGAATGACGTCTAATGACGTCATCAGAACCGCTCCACACTCCAGAACTCGTGTTCACTGCCTTTAGCCTATTTCCCATCATTTGTTCACATCGCTTTTTGCTACCTCAATTTTATATCCATCAATCTTCCCATCCTTATTTTTCACCGCTCATTTCCCCACTATTTTGTCCTTTTTTTATCAAAAATCCCGCAAAACTGAATTTTCCCACTTTCCTGTTCATTCCACTTACTTTTACATTTTCTAATTCTTTGTTTTTTTTTACCAGATTAGTCCCCCGTCAACCGCCGGGACCTTCCTTTCCTGCGCAAGCTTTCTATCCTCCGCTATGGTCCCTTCCTCCTGTGACACCAACACCTCTGGAAGTGACGCGTATGCAACACAATGGTGTTTCATACAGTAGAAGGGACACAATCATGATATGACGGTAGATTTTTCGCTTCCCTTCCTCATCCTCCCTTCCTCTCTCCACTGCCCTCCAGCTGCCACTGCAGCACCATGTGGAATGAACGGAAGTGTGCTAAGCAGGTGTTTATATAGCCCTAAGAGTGTTATCACAACTATCCTGCTACAAAACATTGATATCTCAAATCCTGTAAGCTACCCGATTTGTTAGCGGTTTGTTTATCCCATGAGCTTCCTTCTCACTCACTTCATTTTGCGGACGGACACACATACATACATACACACGCACACACACACACACACACACACACATACAGATACACAAACCGACACACAAAGTTAGCGCTTTATATAATAGAAGGATTATCAATAACCTATTCTTTGTTTTTTTTAGTTTTCTAGTTTTATAGTATCCTCAACAATGGTTTTTGTATATCAATCAATACTCCATCTGGACATCGATCAATATTCCGCTGAACAACAACAAACTGTTCATTTTATCATTTATTAATACAAAGAATGGGCAACATTAATAACAATATTATGACATGCTCCTGTGTCTCCTCAACGGAAACAACAAGGTGTGTGAGGATTTAGGGTTTTCTGTGAGGAGAAGGAATCCGATAGGTGCCTCGGTGGATCATGACGATGATGATAAGGAGGAGGAACATAGAGTGATAAGGGTGATTTGGCCTCAATCAACTGTCCACTGCCAGTAAGGATTAACTACTAAACTAAACGACGAAATCATAAATGGACAGTAGAATCGAGTCCTGACAACTAGACGACATTAGGCTGTCAATCGATTATCGATCCGATATCGATCGATTGACTTCCTGACTACATTGGACGGGGGCGTAGGGTAGAGGGACAGACAGTGGGTGAAGTCTCTCAGGCTGCCACAAAATGCTGCACACAAACATTCGCACGCGCACCGTGGCGATCGATATACATTTAATGAACGTGAACGATGATTACGAGGAAAAATCTCTGAATACCCAAAAGAAAAATAATGAAGGACATTTTTGGCCACTACGCGGTTGGCTGTAAGCTGCTCCACATACATACACATACATACGGGTTTTACCAGGCAAAACTCCATAAAGTACGGTAGTACGTCGTCGCACATTTGGTTACGGTAAACGCGTGCTCCGTTTATACTTCTGTGACGCGACGACGACGACACGTCAATGAGGAACATTCACACATACATACACATCATATTATTCAATCGATCAATAAATCAATAAATGTATGTACACACGCAATGTGTTAGTGAGACGGGGCCAAATCCGAAAGTCGTGTATGAGTTGAGAATTATCATACATGAAAGTAGTAGTGGCTGAATATAGTTGAGCTGCTGTGAGACTCATTAGAGCGAGAGACAGACGTAGAGAAAGAGAGGCTAGAGAGCGAGAGGAACAGAGAGACGGAGGGGCACAGACACCGAGAAACAGAGCGTGATAATCGATACGTATTTGTAGATACAGAAGACGAACATGGTACATGCAATACACAAAAACGGCGGCGGTATGAGAGCGGCCGGAAGTCGAGCGCTCCAAATAGCGCTCGACATGGGCTGAAAGACATGACGGCTACCAAACAAGGGTACGGGTAGGGGTTGCGATGCGGCGGCGGGTTGGAAAGCACTGATAAGTTGCTGCTGTTTGTGGCTGAGTGGTGATGGGGGGAGGGTCCTAACACGAAGTGCTGAAGTACGGTAGGCCGATGATGGGGTTGTGGGCTTATTAGACACACACATACACACTTACACAAGAACTCACATAAAATACGGCAATGATCACAATTGAATGACTATACACATGTTGCCTATAATAATAACAATATTAATAATAATCATATGATGATGAGTTAATGATGAATGATAATTGATAATGAAAGTCTGCGATGTAAAAGACGTTAATAGAAGGTGTTTAAATGTGTGTAAGTAAAAAAAATTTACAACAAACATACAACGTTACAAATCAAGGTTGAAAGAGTTCGGGGTAGTAGAAGACCATAGAATGGAGCAGCACAGATGCCTAGAACCGAATCGCGTACCGTGTTTCCAAGTGGGGGTAGGGTAGGCGGTGCGGAGCGGGCAGGCAGGCAGGATAACGCGACAAGAGAAGAATGAGGAAGTCAGATATGAGGATTGGGTGCTGGCGGCAGTTGGCGCGATGCGCACGCGCACGCGCGACAACCGCCGGCGCGCAACGACAGTGATGTGCTTCTGAGCAGTCTTCAGGAGGGAAAGGCCTTAACGGCAGCGATGGCTTGACGGCCAACGACGATCGATGTTGGCGATCGGTCAGTCCCAAGCGTTAGGCGATGGCGGTAGTTCGGACGCTTGAGCCACTGACGAACTGAAACAAATCATCCTCAGTACAGAGAAATTTTTGAAAACTGTTATTACCAAGTAATTAATTATATGGTATCGATTATATGGCGGCCAGGAAAATAATCATAGCAGATATGATCAGAACAGGGGCTCGATTCAAAACCTTAAAGGCCATGAAAGCAATAGGTCCTGCGCGACGTCGGCACCCACTCTACAATTCAAATTTGCGGCCGCAAACTGGGTCCCATGTGCCTCAGTGAGGAATACCAGCGCCGTCTGGGCGTGGGATGGCCGCGAGAATTTGGGACTGCAATCGCCGAAAGCGGGTCTCCCTCGACATCACACACCGGGTTGGCATCAGCCCGAATGCTGTTTGGTCCCGAACGAAAAACTATCGAGCATCCCAGATACGAATGATAGGCACAACGACCATTCATAATAAGCTTTCCCCAAAGCAATTTGTCTCCACCGAACTAATGATTACTGAACAGCTGCTTAACCTCTGGACGGGTAGATTTATGAACTACACCCTGGGAACGGGCTGGCGAACACAGCGCCCACTTTACTTAAACCGGGTAACCCTGAGGAAGAAGAACCCCCTGATTGTGAGAGAGTATTAAAACACTTAAACAAGACAAAATTATAGTTCAAGTACAACAAGCACTTCGCATGGGAAGCTCACACCTATTTTTCAATAGGGACGCGGCAACCTTACGAAATGGGAATACCTGCCCATTTTTCTAGAACGTGGGCATCTTACCGCCAAATATTGCGAGTTCTTCCAGAATCAAGTCTGTGGAAAAGGGCTGCAGGCGGTATTTCGCTCCCATCGTTGCACACGTTGTCACCATGTCTGCTTTGTACGAATGGTTACCGGACGTCCGCGGACATCTACAAAATCCAAGCGGCAAGGTGGGCCGGTCACATATGGCGCCTGAACTCACCGAGTACCGCTTTTAACCCAACACCAGAATTAACGGGATATGGGTACACACTGGGGGAATAAGCTAAGAGCACCACAAAGAAGACCGCCCTCGCACGCCAAGTGGAAGCTGACCTGTCGAGAAGTTTATACGGCCGCTAGAAAAGAGCCCAAAGCAGAGCGGCTCGGAAAATGTGCGAGCTGCGTTTGTGGCATTCTCGGGACGAATAGTGGTCGATAAGTAAGTACAATAAGTGTGTAAGTAAGGCCTTGGAACCACTTCGATGGAAAAGAAAACTTCCAAATTTTTTACCAGCTATCCGACTTTCGTGGTAAGCCTGCATGGAAAAATTCCAGTAGGGTCTCCAATAAAAATTCTATTACAATAAAAATAAAATTATCAATTTAAGTAGGAATAGTAAAACCAACAAAAATAAACAGTAACATACCTAGCGAAGTTTTTGTAGGCCGCTGAACTCGGATTTATACACAACGGTGTACCAAAGAGTGGTGTACGCTCAGTGACGAACTTATACATACGATCCCGTAAATCGAACATTGACAACCGGGATAATTCCTTTTCCCATTTGGGATCGAAAGGCATTTCATGCTGAAATGACAAATGATTCGTATAAGAAATGGTGTATGGCCACTGCGAAGCCTTCGAATTTTTCGAGGTCTGTCCCTTTAAGTCTTACAACCCATGAACCTCAAAAAAGCCTCAAAGAGGTCCAGAACTCACCATCGGGTCAGGATCCGTACTGAAAATGCGAGTGTTACCGGGATTGTTCGTATAACAACACGAGCACATACACGAATGAAAACGCATTCGGCCCTCATCCAAATAGCTGTGCTTCAACGCTTGTTCCACCGTGGCGCGCTTGTCCTGGAATCGAGAAAATTAGTTCCTTCTACTGAAGTCACTCCCACGGGTAGCACAAAGTTTAACGCCCGTTATAGCACTCCTAGCACCAAGTAGGGACCGTGTGCTGCCCGGCCAAATAGGCCTCTGGTCGTGGAAAATTCCTACGCATCAAAACCCGGATCGGGAATCCCAGAAATCCCACCTACTGAGTTAATTCTCCTAGAGCCTGTCGGCCGAAGGAGGACCCGACCCGAGACCGGGGCTAGAGTTCCGGGACAGAAGTGGGTAAAATCTTACCGGGTCGAAGTGCAACATCATGGAAAGCAATTGGACGGCATCGTCGGTGGTATGTTGGCTGAGTTGCCGCATACGATGGAATGTGTTCACTCGGAACGGTGCCCTCAGCACATGATTTCCTGGCTCCTTCCAAGCGGCGTACTTATCTCGTTTCATGGTGTGGGCGTGCCAAGCAGATCGATGATCAGGTCCAGCTGAATAATCACCATTTGATAAAATATCGATTGGAACGAAAAAAGCGTCTTCTGAGCCAAAAAATCCCTGATAGAAGTCACACCTGGTCAATCGGGCCTTGTGCTTGGAAAAGGTATTCCGCCTCTTTGTGCGGAATTATTCTCTTGGCGAAGCGTAACGACGCTGAAGATATCACAGCACCGGGCCATATAGCCTAAACGACCAATCGTTATACATCGATGTATTCTTGATTGTTTATTTTGTGTATTGATTTTGTTAATTATTTCAGATCTCCGGTAATCGATAACGTACTTTCGGCCCCAGAGGAGTTCTGGAGCACGATAATACTGTGTGACGACCTCGTGTGTCATGTTTTGTCGTTCCCGTGAATCCCAGATTCTAGCCAGACCAAAATCGCAGATCTTCAGGATACAATTGCTGTTCACCAGCAGATTACCGGGTTTAATATCTCGATGCAAGATGTTGGCCGAATGGAGATATTTTAGACCTGAAATCCGAGGAATAGAGATAATGACGATAATAATGGGCAAGTCGTGCTTTTCATCCCTTTGGGGCGCAGAATGGGGAATGACACCAGGCATTTATTGGACTGGGAGACTGGTGCTTTGAAGTTCAGGCTCCAATTATACCCGGTGGCCTACGCAGCCAGCGCTTGGCCCTTTTTCTTCCGTCTTCAACGTCCTCCTACAAGATCAATATCAATCGCTGTGGTTCCATTTGGCCCAATTCCACTTCACTGGATCGGACTTGCAGGCGGTAGGATTATCTCCATACTAATGCCCTCGCCGCGCTAGCCATTTTCGGATGAATTCTCGACTTCACAAGTTAATCCAGATGTCCGTTTCTGACTCTCGTTCATGCGTGCCTCGGGATATCTTTCTCTGTTGCACCGTATCACCGGAGAAGGGTTTCGATACGTCCTTCATAGCACCCCTTAAGCGCCGGCCGGATCCGATCCGGCTTAGCTCTCAACCATCGTTTTCAAGAGCATCATGGACCCATAGAATCTATTTTTCGTTAATTTACCTCGTAAAATTTGGTACACGAACACCTTCACATGGTCAACAGTGAGCGGTTGTGGTGAGACGATAATTTTATGAAGATCACTTTGCATGAGCTCCGTCAAGACGTACCTGAAAAAATAGGGCTCATTTTTTATGCCTTACGAAACGTGGTCAGAAATTTATAATGAATATTCATTATAGTATCTTAAAAATATTAATAAATCTTTAATTTTTCATAATTATTACTATTTAGATTACTTAGCGCGATTCTACATATATTTCATTTGTGATTTTTAATGTTACTTGACTTGTTGATGAATATATGGATGGGTTTTGATTCGTTAAGGCTTTAGATCCCTTTCCAACTGCATTATATGAATCAACTTCCAACATGAATAAATATAAATAAATAAATAAATCTGTTGATTTTTTCATGATGGTTATCTCAAAATCCTTTTCAGTTGGGTAAACTATACAAACCAAATTTCTATCAATTCCGAACGGAAACCATACAAAATTAAGTTTATTTTTGTTTTCCCGTGAAAAGTAAACAACCGAAATTCAGAGGAACGTCACAGTTGAAGTGGCCTCCATTGAGGCCTCTGCTTTGCCCAGATTTCCTCTATCCCTCCCATTTCCTTCTGACCCGTTTTATGAGACGTTTCGCACCTCCACGTGGTCCCTAATCTTATCGTGGGCTAAATGTGGCTGACGAGACGAGATGGGGGCATTGTTATTTGTTAGGGTGGTGGTGGTGTTGGTGTGTGTGGTGCGGGTCAATCGCGTACCAGGCACTAAGGACACCATTCAATCCACCCCTAGCCGCCCCTCATCTTATCGCCCCGCCACGGGTTCAGGTCAAAAAACTACCGTAACCAGATCAGCTGATTAACATATCGATAAGTTAGGGATTTATCGAATTCTCAATAAAATCGCGAAATTAGTTGAGCTGAGTTGTTAGGGACAGTTTATCTACGACCATGGAGAAAATCGCATTCCAAAACAATGGCCCAATTTCGGGAATCCCCGAAAGTTTATGGAACGACTCAAATTCGCGACCTCGTTTGAAAATATTCACAGCTCGGGTTACGGGGCGAATTTTGCAATCCGATGCGCGGGGATACGGTAAATGGCTTAATTTTCCCTTTCATACAGGTCAGGTCAGGGTCGACGAAAGGGCACTTTAATCGAGTGGCATTATGAATTTGAAATTTGGGTCACTGCGAAACCCGTCCTTGGCCCCGTACTTAATCTCTAATGGAAGTGTGTGAAATTTCAATAGTCCAAGTTGAACCGAAATTTGACAGTTGTTTTATCAGTTATCAGTAGCTTTGCACCCTCATTTTCCTAGAGCCAAATGAGCTCTCATAACCGCCCATTGGAAGGGAAAATTTGAATCGCCTTTGCAGATAAACGCCGTTGCCTGTCCCCGTCTGGTGACCTCGAACTCGACCTCAACTATTTGAGGTGGCAGGTGGGACCTGCACATCCCGGACGTGCGACGGGTACCGGTTGGTTAACAATCGATCAATACGCATCAGTTGTCACACGCGCGGTCAAGTAGAGAGCAGTGAAGCAATCTGGCACCGATATGACCTCACCAAAGCAGCAGCAGTGGCTGCTGTGAAGAGGTCATGGACCGAGCGAGCGGATCAAGACACCACCTAACCTGACCTTTGCTTACATAACTCGATGGGTTACTCGATCAATGACCCCCTTAACCAGTTATTATTAAAGGGAGGATCCGGTCCAGTCAGAGAACAAAGAGCAGCGTCCCTGTATAGCCCAGGGTGGGTTAAGTAGCTTAGATTACTCTTGATATTTCGTGTAAAAGTACCAGGCACATATAAAACTGAAGTTCATGAAAAGGAAAGAAATTTCGGAGAGCACTCCAAAGATGAGATTGTAAATCAATCAATAAATCAATAACGGAATGAGCAAGAAAGTAAACCAAAAGCGTAAAAGTAGATAAACTCACAGCTCTTGAAAGAAATGCGGATTCGTTTGGTTTCGTAAATGTCCAATAGAGAAAGGACCTGAAATAAAGGCTTTGATCTATGAATTAAATATTACAAAGAAAAAGTGAAATAAGAGTATAAATAACTGGAAAATAAGCTTAATCAATGTGGTGAAAGTTTTAGAAAATTCCAAAGATGCTGAGATATTTTTCCAAGGAAAAAACTGCTTATACTCAATTTTTATACTGACGTTATTACTGCAATAATCCATCATAACAAAGTAGCAAATGGACAATTGAAACAAGAACTCTGGCTTAGGTATGAAATTGTCCGCCCCCCCCCCCAATGATTATTTCTCATTTCTGTTTCTCCTTATTCTTTTCAGATTCTGAAAATATTTTGGATATGATCTAGGAAAAAATTTCTAATAACCGAAATTGAGTTGTTTTTTATTTTTTATTACGATTTTTGTATGAATTTAAAATAATTTTTAATAAACTTAGGATTTTTGATCAGCGTTTTACTTCAGTTTTCCTAACAAATCTTCTAAATTAGGATTTACGCATTTTATTGCTTGTTTTTTGTTTCTGTTTACTTTCTATTTATTGTTTTTTCCTTTTGTGGCTTACTATTTCACCGCAGTACGCACTACGAAATTACTGCATGGATGATGAATTTATTGCTGGAACGCTTCGCATCAGATGAATTCGAACCCTGGTCTCTTTTTTTTAAAGCATGTTTTCTATCCATTTCACCATCGGAACCATAATTCAGCCTCAGCTTTCAGAGATCTTATTCACCGTTAGCCAATTCCATTATAATTTGCTCAACACTGAAGCGCCAGAAAACTCATGCAAAATCCTTTAATTACCCGAACCGCTATTTTTGAAAATTACCTACGATACTCCACTTACATCATACCTTAAAGTCACTACCTATACTCATATTACAAGCTGGTATCTATTTAGTTTTTTCTTTTTCAGCGTTACTCGAAACACTAAACACTATTTCCTCAAAGGGTGAAGATTTCGAAGCAATCAAATATCCTTTTTTAATTTTTCAAAAATATTTGAAATTTTTTGATAGCGTCTAAGCGTAGATTCTTAAAACTAAGTCATCTGTGTCAACTTAAATGAGCATAATCTTCTTTTCCTAAAATGAATTAGTAAACCTTGGAAGAATAAATTTTTAGTGAGTAGAACAAAAATATGTTACTTGAGAAAGCTGAAGTCATCACATTATCGTGCTTAAACGATGAAAGCATGCGAATTTCGCGAAAAACCCGTTTACAAGAGGCCAGATTCTGAAAGACGTTGGGCATTTTCTTTAGTGCGACGCGTTTTCCGCTTCGTGGATCCGTCACCGACCTGAAATCACAAACGAGGATTACTGTATGTGCTCAATGACTACCGTAACATTGTCCCGTCGTCACATCATTTTCCGAACAGGTTTCCTAAACAATTCTGCTCATCATCACCCCATCGCCCCATCGTTCGTTCCCTCTGCCCAGTCTCTGCTAGCGCTGCTGCTACACATTCGCATATATCGCGAAATCTGCTAATGTGATCAGGCACAAAACGGGTTCTCTACTACGGTTCCTACGGATGACTTGACCGATCGATATATCGATTAGTCATGGCTACCTGCGAACACAAGCAACTGGAGTCGCTGCAAGACCCCCAGGGCGTCCATTCCCCTTGTAACCACAGTTAAGCACTCAGAATGGACTATTAAAGAAATTCTAGCTTTTCGTGGGTTCCGCCCTCCCCCCCCCACCAGGACCAAAACGAGTCCTAAGAATGCCCACTAAGGATTCCGCATGTTCTGGACCCTGAGCTTTTTGTGAAAAAGCCAGGTCCTTAAACTCTCGAAATCCTCCGTTCTCCTAGCAGACATCGCTAGCAGCGGGTAAACCTCGGCGATCGCTAGCGCAGCAGCAAGACCAGTTTTGGACGAGTTTCTCGCCGCCGCCAAATCACGTGATCATCAATAACAGTCAGCGAACATCGAAAAAGGCAACCACATTGATGTTTCGGATTTTGTGCACGATTTTTGAGAAACGTGAATGTTCATGAAATACTTACCAAACAACACCGAAAGCACCGTAACCGATAGGTCGGTCCGGTTGCGCATCTTGTACCGGTGCCGGGTAGAACGGCTGCGTGGCGGCCAGTATCGCATTCGAGACATGTGCTGCCTGAATAGCACGTTTTTTGCACGATAATTGAATTATCGCGGCACGGAATTCTTCTTGAATAGTTTCTTTTTGTCGTACTGTAGGCGACAGTATGAAGGGGGTCCTATTGGTGACTACAGACCCAAAAGTATTAAATTTTATTAAAATAGAAAGCTATATGTATATAGTGAAAATTGCGTAAATGAATATCTAAATATTAGTTTTTAGCCTGATTTTCAGGAAAACTGACCAGGATCCGTTTTATGTACTCAATGAGACCTTCAGCCAATGCCAGCAGTAACGACATCATAGCCAAGACATCAGAGCACGAGGTTCGCGATTCACGGCGGCAGTGGCTTTATCGTAAACCGACGACGACACCACGTGGGTGGCTGGTCGCCTGGTTGGCTGGACAATATGGTGGGGTCGTTCCGAGCGTTAAAATAAACTTGATCGATAAGGATCGTTTCGGGAAGCAACGTATCGATCGAATAATCTAGAATCCGGATTCTTTGTGACGTAGAACTCGACGAACAAAAGCTTTTCAGAACGACGAGAACGGCCCGAGAATGGCTATGGCTCTATAAGAAGTAAATAGCCAGGGTTCGGAGAAATCGTGGGTAATAGGCTGGAGAAAATGAGAAAAGATTTTCCCGGAAAAACATACAGACGGGAGGAGACCGAAGGGAAGAAGGCTAGAAGTGATATGGGAGCTGAATCGCGCCAAATCGGGTGTGGTGTAAAGCCCAATGAAGCAAAAGAGTCGATGGAGTACTTTTTGGCTGGAGAACCTTCTTAGTTATCCCATTAGGCTACAAATCTCCTAGGATCAGCAATGAACACCATAAGGATGGATGCGATGAAGAATTTCGGCATTGACCTCAACATCTAGGATGCGCCATGCATTTAACCTCCACTGAGAACCGCAGCAGCGTTTGAATGCGGTTTGGAAGTATTTTAAGCTCCCAGAAGAGCCTGCAACCAATTGTGCGATTCCGAACACTCACTTGCCCTGAGCGCCGCACGAACCGGAATTCGTTCCCTGACCATGCGCTGGGTAAACTGTTCCCAACCCATAACCTCTGCCTATTTTACCATACCATACCTCGTAAAATATCCTAAAAATGCAGAA